GGGGTGCGGCGCAGGTGGGCCTGAAAACGCGGAGTCAGCGAGGGGAGAGTGTGGGGAGTTTGCACGTCCGCAGCCCGGCTGCCGCTTGGCCTGGTGAGGCTCGCACGCTCCCCGCGCCGTGCTCGGGAGGCAGGGGTTGCCAGTTCTCTCTCGGCTGCCAGACTCGCCTCTTGAAGAGAAGGGAAATGTTTGTAATGTCCAGGGCCGTCTCCCCTTCTGCATGGGCATGGGAGGGCCGAACCAGTTCTACGTAGGTGTTGGACAGCTTTTTTTTAGAATTGAGTTTTTAGCTCCCAAAAAGTCATTATTAATTTTTAACTTAAGGGTGCTAAGCTCCTTTTCACAAAGCATTTGGACTAAAGCAGTTTCATAACCTTCAGCCTCTGAGGTTGAGCATGAAGGATTTACAGCCTTTTGTAGATTATGCTAAGAGTGGATCTCATCTGGTAAAACCCTTCTAGAAAGTCCCTTGACTAAAGTTATTTTCATTGTATTTGCTTTCCGATGAGCAATGATGAAAGGATGCCGTTAGCTTTGTCCTGTGATTACTTTGAGAACTTCTGTTTTGTTCAAATAATATAAAATATAGTGCCTCAAGACTGAGATTTCTATTATAAAATAGAAATAGTCTGGCAGTGCACCTCTCAGTTATTTCTTGTAACAAAAAGATACGTTGTAGTTACTTGATTGTTAGCACTGCTCTACTTTCCTGCTGGTGCTGTTGTACAGCATATGCATTGGATTCCTTGTGTCCAGTCACCAAGGTAGCAGACACAAAAACAAATCTGATGAGTTGTGGGGAAGGGTTTAGGGCTCTTTCAAGACAAAAAGCCCTAAGCAGCACATGGTTTTACTAGAGAACATAATTGGTCACTCTAACCAAAAGAAGTTTGGGGTTTTGTTTCGGTTTACTTGAAAGAACACTTTCTGCAAATGTAGAGGAGCTTGTGATTTTGTGAGCGTGTTGAACAGCATGACAGCTTTCCAGTCAAACTAAGTGTCTTTTGGTTTTGTGGGGTTTTATTTAAACTCCTTCCCTCCCCACGCCTCTGCTTATATAAGGACAGTAACATGTAGTGATTAATGTGTGGGACTGGAATTATCTGAGCCTTAGTCCTGAGTCAGAATTGGGCATTTTGGAGTCTTCCTGCCTGGGGAATGTGGAGGACAGTTTTGACTCAATATTTATTTTGGGTGTAGTAAATACATTCACATTCTTTATTAATATTTTGAACTTATGAGCATCCCAGTATTATCACAAAACAAATTTTGGTGCTTAAGAAGAACATTAAAGCAGAATTATATAAGATTGTCCTAAATATCAGCTTTTGATTCAAATGTCTCTTATTTGGCTTTTTGATGTGACTTTTTCCATGCTTACTGTTTCCTCTGTAAAGAATATCTTGTCTATTTAGTCAGCTATGAGTTTCTGGGTACAAAACATTTGACAGTACTTCAAAGTACAGGGGACAGTACAGGGAAGAGAAGTTTGTCATAGTGCTAGTTCTTGGTGTAAAGAGTTCTGGCTTATTTCTCAGAAGCGATGATCAGCTCTTCCCAACATTCCAACAGCTCTAAGTCTTCTTTATAAAAAGTCCCCTGAAAGTGGTTTCTCCTGAATCTGCTGCTTTGCTTAATGTTTCTATTTATGTAGTTCACCTTTCCTCTGGCTTTACAGGAAAATATTTTCATAGGATGGATTTAGAGCACCTGAAGAGGCTGCGTCAGGCCAACCAGGACCTTCTACAAAGGCTCAGAATGAAGCAGGAAGAGATTAGAAAAAGATTTCCCAGCAAACCACCCTTTCCAGCATCTCGTCATGATAGAACAGCTACTGAAAGATCTGTCCCCTTGCCCAAGAGAGGGGTATGTGTTGTGTCTGTGTTAGAGGTGCTGGGAAGCCAGTGGGCCTTGTATGGTAGGCAGCAGCTCTGCCTGTGGAGTGGTGTGGCAAAGGAGACATGTGGACATGGAGGAGCTGGTAGAAAGTGGAACATGGTATCTATTAAAAAAGCAGCTAGAGTTTTGTTTATTGTTTATCTTATGATATCAAGTATGTTCTCCTTCCAAAGGGTTCAGAGATCATTTCCTGCCTAAGAAATGTAGGTTTCTCAGATAGGAATGAACATTGTGGAACATAATCCTTTTATTTCTTCCTTGACAGTTCCAGCTGTTCCTTGAATTGGGAAAGCTGCATTTAGCGAGAAGTGGACCTCTTTCTTATCTTCTCCAAACACTTAATAAGGTCTTATGAACAATATTAAAATGTTGAGGTTTTTGCCCACGGGAATTTAAAGGGGTCAGCAAACTAGAATGAGTGGTTGATGTTCTCTCACTGAATGAAATGTCCTAATGAAAGCTATTTGTAATCTAAATGATGGCATGTGATATAAGAGTCCCTGTCCTTACAGGAGGAAAATCAGGTTGATGCTGCGAAGTCTACAGATGACCCTGAAATGGTGTCTGTGGAACCTGGAGCTTATGCAGCCAGGGCAGCCCTCTGTTCATCTCTTAAACACAGCAGCAATGACAGGGTGCTTCAGCAACAACAAGCGAAAGTGCAGGAAGCAGTAGATTTGGATTCCAGCTTTCCTGGAAAAGAGAAGAATTTTATGCCAGTGTGTGCTGTCACTGTGTGTAGCAGTGAAACCTCTGGAGTGGATAAGGATGGCCATGCTCAAGGAAGTCCGGAAAAAGAATCCTTCCTTCTGGGACATGAAGAGAACAGAAAACAGGCCACTTCCCTACATGGTTTCCATGAGGAAAAAAAGCTTAAGGGTCATCTGGACCCATCACTGAGCAAAATACAAAGTGAAGAGACCAGCAAGCAGCATGTGGCCGTTAGAGAGCCCGTAATCCCTAAATCAATCTTGCTGACATCTCAGTCCAAACAGTTGAAGGTAAATGGTGAAACCAATGCTTTCCTCATTTTCGTAACTCAACAGAAGGATGGGGAGAAAGAGTCAGGAGAACATTACTTGCCCTGTTCCTACTATGTAAATTGGAAGTTGGGGTCAAAACTGTTTTCAGCCTTAGCAGCCAAGGGCTGTTGGCAGTTTGTTCAGCCCTTGCTTTCCTTAGCTCTTGAACCGAAGACCAGAAAAATGTAGCACTTCACTGCAAGACTCCTTGTCATTTGTATATGTGATTCATATGTTCCAGCAGAGCAGTCTGGTGCAGTGCTGCTGCTATTTAGGCTGTTTCCTTAAGCATGAAGGGCAGGCTGTTCCATTGAGCATCCTCCAGGGCAGTGCAGGTGGCATGATGTTTGGGAATGTGGGATGCATTTTGTTCAAAGCTCTGAAAAATACTGTCTTAGCCTGGGGAAGTCACTTGCCTCCTCTTTCTGTTTTATGAATTGAGAAGACAGAGAGCTGGTGAGCAAATTACCGGTAGAGGCATAGATAGTTTCCAGCCTCAAACTAAGCCTCAGCTGTCCTGTTTTAGCAGCTGCCAGTTATGTCCTGCACTAGACCTTTGAACGTCCTGCGAGATGTGTAGGAAGTCTTTCTGAATTATTTTCTTCCCAGAAGGAAGCTCGTCATGTGACTTTCCAGTCTGACCCTGAAGAGTATACCATGCCCATGAGCAGCTGGTCCGTGCGCCCTTTCCTGGGGTATGACTGGATTGCAGGTGAATCCTAAACCTGAAGCAAAGCTCTCAGTGTGATGTGGTAATCTGAAGAGTTAAAAAACAGTTTATGTCTCCATTAAGTTGGGGTGTGACAGACAGCAGACCTAAAGCACACATCTTGGCAGAGGAGCTGCAGTTTTGTCAGAAGCCATTCAGACACCCAGAGGTGATCTGTGCTTCCCTGGAATGGTGAAGTGGCAGTGATGCAGGAATCCAGGATCTTGAAAACTTTGGGAAGAACTTGATAGGTGCATCCTAAACCACTTATAAGCCTGAATACTGTTTGCTAATGGCATTTGTTGGCTTTAGTGGAAATATCTTTAGGCAGTCAGTCTGTGCAAGGTGATCTGTGGAAGGTATGCATGTGATGGTAGTTTCAAAGCTGAGTGGGGTCAGAGGGGATACCAAGAAACCAAAATGAGTGAATGCAGTGAGGGAGTTAAAACACAGTAAATCTCTGGCTTGATATGATGGTGTGCTCATCTTATTTTGGTGCTTCATACCTTTGGTTATTTTGACTGTTTTGCATGAGGCTTGCTTTGGTGCTTTCCCAAATTCACTAAATCCTTGAACTGTTCTCTTTCCTTGGCACTCTCAGGGCTCCTAGATACAAACTCTTCAGTAGCAGAAAAATCTGACCAATACTTTGCTGAGCTGCATGAGTTCCGACAGGCCAACAAAGAAGCGTGTATTCATGAGCAGCACTTGGAGTGAGTGGGTATGGGGAAAGGGTTGAAGCAGCAATGTATCCCTTTAGTGTAATAAGAAGTATAGTCTGATTGGAGGGGGAAATTGTAAGGGTGGCTTTGTAGGCCCTTATTTACCTCCCAGTCAGAAATGTATGCTTGGAAAATGTGCGGCTGTTCAGGGGGCCTGCCTCCCCGTCACTAACAGATTTATTTGCATGTTTCTTTAGACCCAAGAATCTGGATTACATTGTTCCTGAACAGGAACCAGATTTGATAGCCGGTTCCCATAAATGTAAGATCATATTTCTTCCTTATCCAATTCCTGTGAACAAACAGCTGAGCAGTCTTTGCCTATCAGTCTGAGAGAGCCCCACGTCATGCAAGACAAGGAAGAATGTGTCATTTTTAGCTACAGCTTCCAAACCAGATTCAGCTTCCTACTCAAAAGATACTTGAGTCTTCTAAGGATCCTCTCAATCAGTGTCATCTTATTTTGCCAGTGTTTCTTGTAATTGGCTAATGTTCTGTTTTTAAGTTGAGGAGGCTGAAGTTTTGGTTTTGCTTTTTAGGAACTTATCTGAGGACAGAAAGTGTAAAAAATAATTCAGAAAAAGCAATTCTTTCTGTAGAATGCTTGTGTGTCACTGTGATAGAACACAGCTTTGTTGACTGAGTTGAGGAACCTTTTACCAGACTAAATATACCATGACATTTCATTACTCTGTGACAGGTGTTTACTGTTACCGATTAAACCAGCGCCTCTTTACTGTCCCTTTGGACTCAGAATCTGCCTGCTCTGTGTGTAAGATCCCACGTGCTCAACAGCCCCCAGAGATACTGGAAGAGCCAGCCTATGTCAGGTAGATAAGAATTTTTGCTTTGTAATACACAGAACTCACAGAAACAGTGCAGAAGAAAAAACTGATCATGTGAAGGAGAAAACAGCTTCAAAATAGCTCTGTAGAAGGTTGCTGTTCTCAAGGCAGAGGGATCTCTTGCTTAAGAACTCCCTACTGATCTTTTCCGTAAATAGAAACAGTTTTGAAGTCAGTGAGAAATGCATGTTCTATCTGAATTTGGTCCAGAACCTGAATGTACATGTTAAGTGTCTAATGTCCTAATCCAAAACTCTTTCATTTGGTACACCTTGGATTCTGAGTGGGGAAGGCATGCGTGTTTTCTCTGTCTTGTGGAAGTTGTAGGCAATTACTTCCCTGGTGTGGTTGCAGGGTCAGCATTCCAAGGTCTACACTTATGCCTGCCTACAAATACAAGGCCCACCGCAGGAAGAGCTTTGAACCGGCAGACAATCTAGCATTACCTTCGGTAAGTTGCTGCCCTGGCTGGGTATTGTTACAGCACAAGAAGGAAAGAGAATCTGGGACTCAGCCCCCTAGCAGGGTTTTCACTGAAATCTCTGATCTGCATCACTGGGATAGCAAGAAAAGCCATTGGTGTGTGTTTTTGAGTTCATACCTTTGTGTAACTGGCATAAAGTATATGACATCTCCAAATGCTTTACACTGAGAAAAAGAAAGTGGAACTATATATGGAACTATATAGTTCTGGGACATTATTTGTTTGACTTATGTCAGACATTGATCTCTCAGCATGATGAACCATGCCTAAGAGGGCCTGTGTTTCTTTCTACAGATGCTGGAGAGTCAAAAGACAAGCTTCTGTGAAGTATTCAAGTGTATAAGGGGCCAAACAAAATCAATAGGGGCAAGGATGGATTTAAAACTGTTTTTATAGAGTTGGTCCTGTATTCCAGCCACTAGGCAGTGCTGCAAGCAGTATTACTGATCAGACCTAGCCCTGGCCTTGAGGTTTTCAGGGAAGAGGTAGGAAGAAGCCTGGTTTTGAGGTTTTGGGGAACTGAATGAGTCAGTTGAGGTGGGTTCAGAGAGGTCGGGTGCTTGAGTTCACAAAGCTGGAGATAGTTTTCGAAATAATTAGCCAGTGAAAAGTGGAAGAGGGTTTTGCTGCATTAGGGATTTTGTCTTTTTCCTAAAACTCTTCAAAATTAATTAGCTGCTAAAACCTCCATATCCAGAAGTTATTATTTAGAACTAACAGGCCACAGTAGGTTAAAAAGGGTAAAGTACTCCAGTGCAGCATTCCCATGTCTTTTCACAGCATTGCCTGGCTGGTTGGAAAAATATCATCTCTTCCAACAACCCCAGGCTCAGCAGTTTGGATCTGCGAGCTTCACTGGAAGAGAAGGCTTCTCACCATCCTCGCCTGGTAAGAATAGCCTGTTAAGAGTCCCTGGAGATGCTGTGGATTGCACAAATGGGAATTGCAGTCTTGTCTCTCTAAAGGGTGTGATAATCATCGATGGCTGAGCAAATGAAAATGCCTGGAAGATTATCTCTTTATCTCCACGTTGAACATTTTTCTTCTGCTGCTGTGTAAACTGGTGTGCACAGGCAGTGCAAATGGAACTGGATAATGAGTAAAAGCCTGTTCAGCTCACCAGTCTGCATCACAATGGGAAAAGTCACTTTGGCATTCTTTGATTAAAGTCCTCTTCATTTGAATTCCAGAACTTGGTGTCCAGAGTGTCAGGAGGAACCAGAACTGACCAACTAATGAACCTGACTCACTTGACACACTGCAGATTTAGTAGTGCTTCTCAGCAGAGGGAGCAAAACAAACCTGGACACTACAGAGCAGCTCAAAATCTAAATAGGACTACCTCAACTCTGTGAACCACTGACTTGACTACTCTGGAGAAAGAATGGGCAAAGAGTGTGAGAACAACTCTATTTGGATAAAAATAAATCTTTGAACAGATTTCTCCTGGTTTTCATAGTTGTGTGCATACTGAGCAACCAATACACATAGCTGAATGTACAAACTCTCATGTTGTTTCACTTTTTTTGCCTTTCGCAGCTACTTCTAAGCAGATGCATGAGGTTTCCCATGTAGGGCTGTATAAGGTGATGTGTACAGGATGACTACCTAGTACTGTTACCACTAGGATACCTGTAGCAACAGAGTTCATCTGCCACCTCAACTGAGTAAACCAGAAGTGTAACATTAACTCTGAATACCAGGGTGAGGAACTGACTTACTAATGACCTGGTTCAATGGCATGCGTGCAAATATGTTCATTTCCAAATGTTTGAAACATGACATATAGTTTGCTAGTGCCTTAAACTTAAGTTACTCAATAATTTAGTTTAAAAAAATCCAGTTTATTTTCAGTGCAGTGTTTGTAGCTGCAGGGTATTATGACTCTGAAAAAGCATGTTAAAGTAAAAAGGGACTTTATTTATCAGAAAGCTAGATAATGCCTTAAAATGTTTGCAAATTATGCTTGCCTCTGCTTTTCCAAGTTTTTTGAAGATAAACCCAAAAACAGTTTGGAGTTTTTAAATTGTACCAAAACAAATTATATTGTATACTGTGATTTGTCTGAACTCTATAGGCTTTTCCTTGTCTAAAAACAATAAAACTGATGTTTTATTTTGCCTTGAATAAGTCTGAAATAGATAATCCTACCTCAAATTTATTTCTGGGATCTAATTTGACAGAAGGAATTGGGTTTACACCAATGATATTCTCAGGTTCTTGGCGTTCCCTGTCATTTATATGTCAAATACATTATTTATTAATGGAAACGTATGGATAAACTTTTTGTAAGCAAGGAAGGGAATCTTGCAAGTTTATGAAATCTTAATGTGAGACTTAAAATGGAAAGTGAAAAGCATGACTGCTCAGTATAGCTCTGGGTTGTGCATGTGAAGGGTAAAGTGAATGGAATTGGTCACATTATCTTCATTATCAAAAAGACTAGTTTTAAAATAAGTTAATCCCATGAATATAAAACACTAGCTGCCAAGTGCTTATACTAAATAGGGCAAATTCAAGATTTTTACTACCTTGCCTTCAAACCCGAAACACAGGAAGTCATAAACCTCCTCGTAATTTCTCCTGAAATAAATTACAGCAGGCCTGCTCCACTTTAGATAAAATGAAGCACTGTAAGATTTAGTAACTTATGTGAGATCTCTCTGGTGAATGCAGGACAGAGCCAGTGTTGAACTCAGAATGACAGACTCTTGATACCTAGGAATACATTCAACCTTTACACTTGTGAAAGTATTGTAAATGTGGCTATGACTCTTCCTCCTCTAGAGACAGGTGAAAGGAGTCAGTGACGCTGCACCTGCTTACCCAGGTTAACCTCAGTTTGTCTCTGTATGATTCTGGCCTGTTTGATCCTACCCTCGGTTGTAACCTGAAACAGACAGAAAATGCTACCTCTTTATGGATTTTGTTTTCACCTCCCTCCATATCTCTCCATTGCAAGCCTTACAATGCCAGATCTTGTTCGTACTAGCAAGTTTTTAGGAAAGGTTCTTTTCCTCATGTGTGCACTTCAGGCTAGCTTTAACTTTCCCTTTGTACTCTTCCTCTTGCATTCTCACATTTCCTTTCAGGTGGAGCTTCTCACAAGGGCTCAGTCTCAAAATATTCTTTTTCTAAAAAAAATTGAGCCATCCCACACCCCCTTTTTGCTAATAAAAAATGTTTCATTTTCACATTAGGAGGACTGATTTCAATTTCCATTTTAAAATATTGGCATCTTAGTTCACTTTCTTTTCTGAACTGGTATAGGGAATTGTTTCCTTTTCTTTCTGTTTATTACTCTCCAAGCAGAAAATCTGATTTGCCTATTAACTTAGAGAATAACCTGGTGTTTCTAAGCTGTTTTTATAGCTGTATCTCTGTATTAGTGCAGAATAAGCTTGTGTCATGATCCTTTTTGCATAGGGAATCTAACCAGTGTACTCGGGTTTTCCAGCAGGTCTTAAGCAGACGGTACATTTTGAAATTTCTGCTCTGAGTAGTTCCCAGGTCAGTTTGTAGAAACAGATTTTTCTGCTGGCCAACTTGGTATTCTCTTTCTATTCATAATCAAAATTATCAACGATTTTGCATCTGGGGTTTTCAGTTTATACTGATACATGATCCAGAATTTAATGTAGAACCCTTTGTTTCTAGCTGCCCTGTCTCTCTAGAAGGGAGACAGAAGGTCTGAAAGTGAGTAAAACCGTATTTTTTTAATTGGACACCTGGCCATGGATGTGCATGGAGGCATCATCTTCTAGAAAGGAAGTGATTCACATATAATCAAGCTTCTGACCATTCTCTCACTTCAAGGTTGAGTTCCTAGGCAGGGATCCTTTGGTCTGATGTGTGACCGGTGTGTGTGATTACAGTGGAAGAATTTACGGCGAGAATAATGTTTGTGTTTAGCAAAACTGGAAGCTAATATGTCACTCACTCTTCCATGCCACTAGAAGTTGGAATAGCCAAAGTGAAGCCCAGCATTTTTGACTTGTCCTTTTTTGTTCTCTGTTCATAGCACTTGGAACATGTTGGCTTATTCTGTGCAGCTGTGTCTTCTGTTAAAGGCTCACTGTGGTGCGTGTGCCCATTTGTAGTGGTTCTGTCCTGGCATAAGTGATGCTTTGATGGTAAAGCTGGTGGTTTACTTCCCCTTTCTGACTGTACTGCATGTATATTACACTGATTTATAAGCTGGGAAATCCAGCCTTGCTTAATTAAACAAAATAATGCATTTGTGTTTGGTTTTAATGGAGAAATGTAGTTCAGCCTTTAAGATGTTGCTCCGTCTGCTTCTCAGTAACAGTGTTAGGCTGCCATCATCAGCGTTTTGTCTGTTTGCTTCCTCTAGGGTTATTGTAAGGTAGTTTTGGTATTTCTTGCTGTCAGTATATTGTAAGAATTAACATCAAGAGTCCTGAATGAATGTAGTGCTGATTTATTCATTCTGTTTAGTTATTAGCATGTCAAGGAATGACTGTCTCCAGAACCCTCAGGTGAAACATCTGCATGTGCCATGAACTTGCTTTTTGAATTGTTTGCCAACTTTGATTTTGGGGGCTTTCATCTCTTTGGAAACTGTGTTTTCAAAGCCCAGAATAATTAGTTTTCAGAGTGTGTCAAATCTGAAAACACAAGAGAAATTCTGCCCTTTCTCTTTAGAATTAAAAACCTCAATTTCACCAGTGCCGTGGGTGATGACAGACCGAATGTAAGGACTAGGTTTTCTTTTTCTGCTGATGTATTCCATTGGTTTCTGCAGAGCAAAAACATACTGCTAGGAAGAGGAAAGTAAATCCCTAAATTGTCAGAGTTGAGATGCTCAGCTATAGTTGCAGAAAAAAGTTCTGTACTCTTTGAAAAAAACTGTCCCAAAGTTTTCTCATTTGTTTCTTTCACAAAAACTATTTAATATTTCCTGACTTTCTTTTGTTTATGGCAGCAAAGGAAAGCTCATCTTGCTTCTGTTAACTGATAAGTTTAATAACTCTCAGCTTTTAGATGAGGAGAATCAGAGAACCAAGAAAGGATATGAGTTACCCAAAAAGTCTCTGACAGTACTGGGAACTAATGACTCCCACACCTCTGTTTTAACCACAAGGCAAGTCTTCCCCAGACATTTTTATTTTTTGGTTTGGATTAAAATGCATTGAATTGGAACTTTTGGTGCTTTTTCCATTTCCTTGTTTTACTTCCCAGGAATATACATGAAGCATATTTCAATTGCAACAATAGCATTAACATTGCGTATCAGTGAACAAATGTAAAACATCTGTACTAAGGTTAGTTAACAAGGAAAACTTGGGCATATCTCCTTGTTTTGAACTTAGTAACATTCTTTGCCTTTCCAGTAAGAGAGATCCAGAGTTACTTTGTTGAATTCAAGGAAGTTCATCTGGATTTATATTTGTATAAATGTGAGGATTTCTTTCTTAGAAGGAAGTGAAATGCTCATAATTCCTGTAGTCTTCTAAAAGAGTGAATTTATTCTCAAAGTTTTTTTAAAAAAAGTTAATATAAAGGGTGCAGTAAATCATAAATAGTTTCCAGTAAATTATAGTGTTTCATCCTGAAACAGCTAGTTTATCTGGGAACTGTTTGTTGACTTACAGATGAACTTCATGGGTTAAATGCTTTGCTGAAATAATTGACCCAGGCTGCAAAAGACTTGTCAGTTCACACATACAAAATACCTGAAAGTAGATCATTTGTGAAATGACAAGGCTCTGCAAAAGCTGCTTTTTACTCTCATTTTAGTTCTGTCCTGTGCTTAAATCTGCTTCATAGTACCTTTCACTGAAGTTTTCTTCAGCATCTTCTGAGAGTTTGCAGACTGGAATTCCTGAGTGCACGAGTATGCTCTCTGGTTTGATTCTGTTCACAGTTGACTAGCATCTTCCAAAAACTGTAGGTGGAAACTAGGTCTGATGGGTTAGTTTTTAATTTTAATGAATCTCACATTTAACACCTAGACTGGAGCAGAACACCACCATTAAAATGCTAAGTCAGATACTCAAAATTTAAGAAATGCTAGCATTTAAAATTTCTTTGCACATGCCCACTTCCTCTAACGTGTTTTTTATTTACAGTATCCAATCAATCCAAGCTTCCCTAACCAGTTGTCTTCCTCTCTAGTGAGCTCGTCTCCTTCCTTTCCTAGTCATTAGTTTCTTCTAGACTTCTTCAAAGCTTTTTGATCCCTTCAGTTGATTCTGTCTTTGTCCTCTATATGAATTGTATGGCACTCCCTTTCCAAAACTTCACGTTGAAGGTCTCCTTGAAAGGAGATTGTCTTTCTTTTTGTCAGTTCCAGTTCCTGGTCATATGCTGGTTTCACCTCTGAAACTCCACG